GCTGTACCTCCTCCAAGGCAGATTTGTTCTTTGTTCTCACAGCCATGCTGTTAGATGCCGTGAGTCAGTTCAGACGTAGCGGCTGCACGTACAACAGAACAAAACTGCCCGGTCCTGCACCATCCTCACACTTCTTGTTTAAGCCCAGCGTTGCAGCCGCTGTAGCAGATCACCTTGCCACGGACCTTCTTCTTTTTCGATACCCCTCCACTTTACCAAGCTTGATTCCCTTTTCCAGAGACTGGTCTCTCCTGACAACTTGTCCAAAGTACATGAGATGAAGTCTTGCCATCTTTGCCTCTAAAGAGCATTCTGGCTTTACTTCCTCCAAGATAGATTTGTTCTTTTGGCAATCTATGGTACTTTTCAGTGTTCTTCACCAGCACAATAATTCAAATGCATCCATTCTTCAGTCTTCCTCACTCAATGTTTAACTTTCACATGCACGTAAGGCAGTTCCTTTTTTGACTGGTGCTTTGTAAGTATCAAAAGAAGAGCTCAGATCCCACCTCCCCTTTCAGGGCCTCCTGTGAGAGTGTCCTCGTCCCTAAACCCTTTTGTCTGTTGTCAGTCATTAACAACCATGGTTCTTCCAACTAGAGTGAATGAACTCAGTCAGACATTTATTTCATATCCTCAAACTTACTCTGGGTCCTTGTGAAGACATCTCATCTGCTCATTGGCCAATCTTGTGTCTTGTCCAATAGAGCATCTCTACTATGGATGTGAAAATAAGATTGCTGCCAGCTAGCCCTGGCTAGGTTAAACACAGCTCTTCATAGGGTCATGGTCCCATGCAGGCACCACCAAATACAATTTAAAAATTTTTACTGAGCATCTGCAATGTACAAGACCCCATGTAAGACCCTGGGGAAGAAGCAGGTAAGCAAGACATAGGACTGGCCTCATGAACTTCTTTCCCATGGAGAGAAGACTGGCTTGTGGGTTTGGTTTCTTTAGTCTGGACTTTGGAATTAAAGCATCGCATACATACATAAAAATGTTCAAATCTTAACTATACAGCTGGAACAATTATAAATGTGTCTTCAACATTTTCAGTTAGCTGCCGACTAGGAATCTAGTGAAAAGTCCTATCTGGACATGGCCTACCCCTCAGGACACTCCCTCCCTTGGCTCCCTGTCCACTGAATGCATTGATGCTGGAGCTTTCCGGCCCTCATATTCACGTTGGACTCAAAGGCATGTGGTTTGAAAGAGGAAGGTGGGAATGTCTTGGGGGACTTGGGCAGAGCAGAAATAAGACCTGCGAAGAAATGTTATCCAGCATCAGTGCCACCAGATTGCCTCACCCACTGGATGCTTATTTTTAGTTTTAATAAAGCTAAAACCTGCTTGTGATAAGAGGGGGAAAAAATCACTCTGCATTTTAGTCTCTTTGGAGCACATGCTTTATATCAGTCTCCATGATAGTTAAGAACTAGAAGCGTTCATTTGTATCTAAAATGTAAACTTAAGACACCTGGTGAATATGTAGCTTGAGCAGTCTGTCGGAGCCAGCACTCTGAGAACCAAACCCAATTCTAAAAATTTTTATCTGATGTGGTCACAGAATGTATTTTAAAACTGGAGTCATCTGCCTTCCAAAGCTTACCTCCGCTGCACCTGCGCTCCAAAATATTTCTGCCTACACACAGGAACTATTGTTTAAAGATTTGATGTTGGTTCGTCATGCAGGCACTCCAGGAATTATTCTGACTTTAAAATTTATTTTAAAAAACAGCAATAGTTCAGGCACGTGATTCAAAACCAAACACATGGAAACCTCTACAGATGGCATATAAGAATCTTTTTCTCCTCTATCTGCAGTTCCTCCCACTAGAAGCAGCCACTATTACCAATTTCTTGGCTATCCTTCTCCAAATATACATACACATGCCCATGCACCCATTCACACGCAAACTCCCCCTTTCAGCACAAATGGCAGCATACTGTAAGTGCTGCTTCTGCACCTGTTTTGTTTTTATTTTTACTTAACATATTCTCTAGGGATGTTTTTTCATTTGGCACCAGTATATACATCCATATTATTCTTCTGGCTGCATAATGTTACATTATGTATATATCTGTTTCATGATTTAACTGTGCTTTACTGCTGAGTGTTT